ACAGACCACACACTAGAAAGTGAAGGGACGACGGCGTTTCGGTCCGTCCTGGACCATTCTCAAGTCGATCCGAAACATCGTTGTCTCTTCACTTTCTAGTATGTGGTCTGGTCAACATATTTCAGCCACGTTATTGTGACTCATCGCCTGCATAGATATGACAGAGCTGTCAAATATAGATATGACAGAGCTGTCAAATATTGGTATGACAGATCCGGATAGCAGGTACGACAGCATTAGAACGTTGAGAAATGTAAAACAAAAAAAGTGAGAGGTTGGGGCTCTAGAGCTAGATCTTGCTCCTCATAGACACCGGCAAGTGTAGTCATGCAGGCAAATCCGAGGAGACCGAGGTTTATGAGGGGAAAGGAGGAGAGACTCACCTGTTTCACTCAGGTAATCAATAGGGCGCCTACTGACCCCCTTGTCGACTTCATCCAGACTTTCCTTCCTCTTTCTCTCTCTCTCTCTTGTCACTCTTTAGTCGGCTGTTGTAGGTGGCATCATAGGGAAGGACAGTCGTTGGCTAGCAGAGCCTTAAATGGTCTTACAGGCTTCCTGTCCCCGACAACGGGAAGGAATACCGTTTTTTTTTTCTTTTCCTCCCCTGCTCTTTAATTATTTTCCTCCCTATCTTCCCCCCCCCCCCCTCCTCTAATGTGGCCGGGTTATTACCCAGTTGGTGCAACAAGCTCAGCTTTCTTCTTGACTTTCAACTAGTCTCCTCCTTTTCTTTCGTTCCCCTTTTCTTCTCTCTCGTTTTATATTTTCTCCTTTTTCTTCCTCTTCCCCCTGCCTTTTCTTCGTTTCTCCCTCACTCTCGATCGTTGCTTGAGCCCTCTATTTCCAGCCACCCTTGTTCGTCCCTTCCGGTATACCTTAGCCCCTGATAAGCAGCATCAATTATACTATGTTTCCACCACATTCCAAGTTTAGACTCCTGCCGGCGGCCTCCGACCAGCCGGACCTGCTTCCCCTCCCTCGACCAACCGGTCCAGCTTCCCCGCCCCCCTCCCTCGACCACACAACTCCACCCTCCTCCGCAACTTCGACCACACAGACTAGCTCCCCCCTCCCTCGACAAGCCAGACCAGGTCCCCCACCCCCTCCCTCCACTTCGACCAGCTAGATGAAGCCCCAACCAACAAGACATGGCCCGACCAGACTATATATATACCTCCCGGAGCCCTGTCCTACCTGTCGAAGTCCACCCTCCCAGGCAATGCCTTCAGACAATATGCCACGGACCCCAAAATCAGACCCGCTACCCTACCGGTAAAGCTCCCCAGGCCCCCAGACCCCCAGACCCCCAGACCCCCAGACCCCCAGACCCCCAGGCCCCCAGACCCCCAGACCCCCAGGCCCCCAGACCCCCAGACTTGGTGTTCCTCACCCACCAGCTAGACTTGGCACTCCCAACCAGTCAGACTTTTGGCAGAGAACCCAGACGGTTTCCCAGCTAACCTTGCAGTTAAGGTCAAGGTGAAACAGACTGTAAATACTTGCTCGCTAAAGATTGTTTAATATTTATTTTGTAATGACTTCCACGCACGTCCCTTTATGAAAGCCGTTTTTCCTGGAAATTATCAAAGTTTCAAGGTTGAGAATGGTATTTTTATATAAGAATTGACTGTTTTTGTTGGAATTTTAAATAAAATTTTGAATAACTGATTTGAAGCAAACAAGGAAATGTGGTGGAATGTTTAAAATTAAGAAACTAAAGGGAGTTGTAATTTGTAGGAATTAAAAAAGGCGATAAATGGTATGGGAATGTTAAAATAAAAGTGACAATAAGTTTGGCAGCTGCATTAGATGATTATAATGAGGAATAGAAATAAAAAAAATGATAAAGAAAATATGTAACAATTATGTATATAAAATAAAATTAAAATAGAAATATCTTCATTCATATACCTATTATGCTATGATGACAAGCCAAGGTCTCTGAGTGGCCAGTAATCCAAGCTCTCTGAGTGGCTATTAATCTAAGCTCTCTGAAGGGTAACTAATCCAAGCTCTCTGAGTGACTATTAATCCAAGCTGTCTGCGTGGCCATGAATCCAAGCTCTCTGAGTGGCCAGTATTCCAAGCTCTCTGAGTGGCCAGTATTCCAAGCTCTCTGAGTGGCCAGTATTCCAAGCTCTCTGAGTGGCCAGTATTCCAAGCTCTCTGAATGGCCAGGAAGTCCCCCAGTTCACTGCAGGAACCTACAGGTATGCGAGCATTGATTAACCTGTTTGACTGGCCTTGCGCCACGACCCCCTCCACTACCTATATACTATTGTATTCCTCTATTGATTATACACTTGCTTGGTTGTACACTTGTGTTTGTTTTGTTTACTACGTGTATACACCCATGTGAATGTCTGATGAGTGAACTGCGGCTTTTGTTACCCGCCGTTTTAACCATTTAATCAACTGGTGGATGTTTTGTGTGTGTGTACTTGTGTGGTTATGTGCACCTACCAGTCCCATGTGCACGAGGTGACTGATGACGTCTGCTCTGGAGAAGTAGTGGGTGAGATGTACATCTTTCAAGCTGCTGTAGCCTTCACAGATACTTCCTTCCCGCATCTTGTCTCTCTGCTTCTGTCTGCTCTGCCTGCTGCTTCTGTTATGCCTGCTGATGCTGTCCGATTTGCCAGCTGTTTCCGTCTACTATGCCTGCGGTTTCTGTCTGCTATTCCTTCTGCTTCTGCCTGTTATACCTGCTGCTTCTGTCTGCTATGCTTGACGGGCGTGTCTGCTCTGCCTCTGCACATATGCCTGGTATTATGATCATGTACAACGATGCCCTGCAAGCGTCTCCTGGACCCACATCACAACTATCATCATTCGATCCAACATTATTGGTATGATTTCCTTGTTCTGTGCTCAGTGTCATTCGTAGAGGACCACTTGGTCGTCTTGGTTTTTCACCTGTGGAAATTTTTTGTTTATTGAATTTTCTTTTATTCCTCTGCTATTCTGTAGGAATTTAAAATTAAATTATTAAAGCTCTGATATCCACGCCCAATGTGCACTGCGTGTGTGTCCCCAACACATACACAGTCCTCGACACGTTCGAAAACGCTGTTTTTATAGATAGTTGAAAAGTTCTCACATTCCGACAGATATTCTGAGGTACTATCTCCCAGGTGCTGTCTATCAGGTGTTGTCTCAGGTGTAATCACTCGGGTATTATGCTAACATAATCCAACAGCTGCTTTATCTCTCGATTTTTATAACTGTTTCATTAACGACTATCTTTTTATATTGCTTGTAACGAAAATGAGATTCTCAACGGGGAAATCTTTAGCCAAAGCTGCTCAGGTTATCAAAATGTGAGAGTCGCGACATGTTTCTGGATGACCGGTGATAGCAGGCGATATATAAGTAATGTATCAGAACACTTCAGACTTGTACATAACAAAACTGATTTTTTCTATACGTTTGAAGGATACTGTGCTATAGCACTGAAAACAGCCAAAATTAGGCAAACCACCTCGGATTTTGTGACCAGTGAGGAATCGAGTCAATTATGTTTAGCGTTGGGTACGTTTATTATGAGAACAAATGTTGATCAGAGATTGATGAGTAAAGGTGATGTTTGGCCACATCCTTGCACAAAACCGTGAAGAATATCTCCAACACTACAACATTTCCGGCTTCCTGTGACACGAGAAGGATTTAAATGTGGCTTTCAATAACACGTTCAGTAGGTGTAACCTACGATACAGCGAGGAGTTCGTGGGCGGACGGAAAGCAGGTAAAATGACGGAGGAAGAGAGAGAGGGCTACATGAGAGGGACGCCCAGACAAACATCGCACACCACCATCGCCTCCCCAACACACACTGCTGTTGATCCTGGTGTCCGGTACGTGCCCCTTTCCTCCCCCACTCCCCCACCACCCTTACCCTGTCTTACCTTCCTTCGCTCTCCCCCCCCCCCAATCTTCCTCTCCCACCCCCTCCACTCCCACCTACCTAAACAGGCTATTATTCTCACGCTCTTCTCTGTTTGCACGTGATCCAACGCTCCACATATGCCTCTCTAAACTACCGTGTAAATAAATCGATAAAATATGTAAATGTAGATATGTACACACACATTTCAAGGTGATGCCTGGGCCTCTGTCCGTCTCTCTCTCTCTCTCTCTCTCTCTCTCTCTCTCTCTCTCTCTCTCTCTCTCTCTCTCTCTCTCTCTCTCTCTCTCTCTCTCTCTCTCTCTCTCTCTCTCTCTCTCTCTCTCTCTCTCGTCTCTCTCTCTCATCTCTCTCTCTCTCTCTCTCTCTCTCTCTCTCTCTCTCTCTCTCTCTCTCTCTCTCTCTCTCTCTCTCTCTCTCTCTCTCTCTCTCTCTCTCTCTCTCTCTCTCTCTCTCTCTCTCTCTTTCTTTTTCTCTCTCCAATCCGCCTAAAATACTCTCCTACCACCCTCTAGAAAACTCCAGGAGTGTTTTTCACTCCTAGTGGTTGCTGGAATTCAATATTAACAAGTGTAAGGTAACGAAGATAGAAAAGGGAGAAAGAAAACTAGTATCTACATCAGTAGATGTCTAGTGTAGATAACGGGCAGGACATACCATCCTGCCCTACCATTAGGCATGGCAGGATCCCTACTGTAGAACGTAGGATTTATTTGTATTTTTATTTATTTATATACAAGAAGATACATTGGGTTTATTAGAGTACAGAGACTTGAAGTTATACATGAAGTTATACAATCTTGTAAACGTAGGATACTACAGGATGCCTACTACTATGCAAGTTGGTTTGCAAAGGATGCAAATCGACATTGACATTGGATCACTTGATTGTTTCAAGCATAGGTTAGACATATATATAAGAACATAAGAACAAAGGTAACTGCAGAAGGCCTATTGGCTCATACGAGGTCAATAGGCCTCGTATATATATTTATTACATATAAATAAATATAAGTCTATAATGTGTCCATTTATTTCTTATATGATATAGTTGGAATCCGATTTCCACATTCAGGATTTTGACGACGAATGCGGTCAGGAACCGCTTCGAGAACGTAAACATAACTGAGGACTAGGCCGTATTTGCCCGAAAAAATTATAGCGTTAGAAATTAAAAGAGCCAGAGGCGAGTGAAGGCCCCAAAGAGGAGAGCAAAGATGAAAGTGTCGATATAGTTGCCAATTTATTCCTTCTGAATTGAGCTTAATGATTCAAACCAGACGTGTCGAGGGAGTTGCAGCTGCAACGGTGAGGAAACTGTTGCCTTAGTAAGTAAGTGTAGCATCTATGCAATTGGGGATGTATAATAAATACTTGTCACATCATAGAGAAGACAGTTTGCCCATCAGATTTTAAGACTTACCTATCTTTACCCAAAATATATCAAACACAACCGAACCCTAGCACAGCCCAACGGAAGGTAATACATCCTAACCTAATAATCTTTGTAAAAATTCTTGAGTACAGTTACCCCATATCCTCATAGAATTTCTCAAAATGTTTTGGAATTACGTAAATAAAGAGATGTAATAATTAATTATTTCTGCTGGCAGAGACAGGAAGCCTGCACTTAAGCTTCTATTGACATCCCTCTATATCACACTGCTAACCTTCCCAAGAATGCAACCTTCAACAGTTGCCTAACTCCAGAGTATCTGAGTACAGTACTACCTGAGTACTCATTTACTGCTAGATGAACAGATTGCCATTGCCATTGCCTGTGATTTTGAGTAACCATTGCCCGTGCTACTTGGAACCTTTAGTTCCGAGTAGCTGAATCTAAAACAACAACAACCCAAACTATTTTTAGGGTACAGAGGTTGAGAAATGCTGCTCTATACTAATGCTATAGTAAAGAGAATGAGTGTTAGCAAAATTTACTGAGCTTAATATCACATCATGATATCATATCTAAAGGAAACATTATTAAATTGTGTATAGGCTGTGTTAATACTGATACTAAATAATTCTCCACAGAGCCATGGGGGATATGAATGCTGAACCTGGCATCTCTGTGCAACGGATCCCACCTCAGAATCTCGTTGTCCGGCTCTTTCATCGAGAGATACACAAACAGTCACACAGTCAGTTGCATACTGACCGATGCTTCTATCAAAATGTTACCCCAAACTTCACCGTAACAAATGTTCAGAAGCCACCTTGTTTTTTAAGGAAGTTTAGTCCTGATGGGAGGTGAGACTTTTGGAAATATGGTGGCTTACATTAATTAATTTTTCACCCTATAACTTTCCCACTAATTAAAATCCTGCTCCCTTTTAGCAATAATGTTCTCTGAGAAAAGTGTACTTTACCTCTTATCCACTTTGATCATGTACATAGCCTAGTTCATTAAGGTTTTTAATAGTGGTTAATTAAGAATGTCATCCAGAATCATAAAGAATACTGAATACAGAGTTTATGTCTTGAAATGGGAATAGCCTTATATATTTGTTAAATTGCAATCCTCATTGCTTGCCCATTGTATGAAGTTATAATTTACAATAATCACATGAAAATATTCTTGTACATAAAATAAGTATCGTATAGTTAAAAAAACTTGTAAAAATTATTTGTTTCAGACAGTTTCTTTCAAGTTTAAAGAAGTATTCAAAATAATTGGGAAATTGCAAAGTCTTGTTGTACCAAAATGTACTGAAAATAATTTGAAATTTTGAACAAATCCATAAGGGCCGTGATGAGGGTTCGAACCTACATCCGAGAGGATCCCAGACACGCTTTAATCGATTGAGCTACGACATCGTTGCTATGTCGTAGCTCAGTCGATTAAGGCGCGTCTGGGACCCTCTCGAACATAGGTTCGAACCCTCATCGCGGCCCTTGTGGATTTGTTCATTTGATGCATCACACTATTGTGATTTCTTTGTATAATTTGAAATTTTATTAATTTTAGTGAATAGTCAGCAATAAAGTATACAGTTTATGGTTATGTTCACTAACAAATACCTGTACTAATGATATTTTTTCATTTTATATAAAAGCATTTATGGTCTGCAAAGGACCAACCAAGATCACCTATTAGGCTTAAGATATAGGTTTACTTACATACCTCACATTTTGACATTAAATCACAGCATTGGTCTTTGTATGTGGATGGTTTTTCTATGTGATTTGTAGGTGTTACATTTCTTTTCAGGTTTCTGATTGCCTTTTCTGCTGACCAAACCAGCATAGAAATCTTTCGGTATATGGGACCATCTGCTGCTGCCGACATATTGCATTGGTGTGAGGTAATTTGTAGGGATTGCTAATATAGCCTATCTTCAAAGCAAGTTAATCTACATTATAATATAAATTCTAAGAACAATATTTAATATACTATATTTCAGAGTTCTAACTCAAGAAACATGAGCTCAGTCCTAAAGCCTTAAAATCTTATGATATGTATATTTTCTGTATTACGGAGAAAGCTAGTTATTCCTATACCAGTATATACCCAGTATAAAGGTTCTCTGTTATTTGTGACTTTAGTAGAATAAATTTATCCAAGAAAACAGGGAATACTGAAGTACAAGATTTTTAAGAATTAGTTGATAACTTTCCTTAAACAACATATTATAGAGCCAATGTCGGAAAATAGTATTATAGACTTAGCGTTAGCTAACAGGAAAAACACATAAATAACATTGAAATGGGGAGTGAGCTAGCAAACAGCGAAATTTGATAAAGCATGACAGGGAAAAGTTGTGTGGCAGAAAAAGAATTGTTAAGGTGCAAGATTTAGTAAATGCTGGTTAAGAAGTGCCTTGGGAAGGGTAGATTGGGCGGACCTGAATATGGAAGAGGGGCTGTTGTTAGGACGTGACATTATTCCAGCAGTGAGTGACAAGACACTCAATTACAATGCAATTTAAAATTGTAACTCATTTCAAAACATTCTTAGTAAAGCTCAGGAATTTAGCACTATACTGTACTATATTTTTTCACCTCATTTCCCATAGTCGAGATAAAAAGCCAATCAGGCTTATTGAGGTTTCTCTGGGCCACCTGCTGACTTTTCCCAGGATGTAGTCCACAACAATTGCCTAATTCCTATGTATGTATTTACTTCTAGGTAAACAGTCACATCAGATGAAAGGAAATGTTGCCCAATCACTTTTGCCCTACCTAAAATGGATACCCATAGGATTAAAAACTACATGGAAAAAACTTTGTACAAAAAAAGTGAGAAAGGGAAGTCTTTCTTCAACAACAATTAGTCAAAATACTGTAGTAAGGAATGTTAAAAATCAAGAAAAAAATTAAAAAAATTACGAAGCATGTGCATCAGTGCAGGCAAAGGCAAATCTTGAAAGATTTTGTCAGATATACAGTATTAAAGATTATGGAAAGGACTGAGCAATTGGAAACTGAGACAGGGCAGGTATCTGATAACTACACAAAAAAAAGGACTGCTTTTTTTAAATAAGTACTTTGTCTCTGTAGTTACTAGAGAAGAACTTGACAGTATGCCTGCAGCTGAACAAATGTATGTAGGTGATGAGGAGGACAAATTGACTAGTTTAGAAAAATTAAAGCCATGCAAGTCTCCAGGGCTAGATGAAGTATTTGCCAGCATACTTAACCACCGTGCTGCGCGTCCTTAAAATATGACATTCCCGTATTGCGACGAAAATAAATTCTTTGCAAAAAATTATTTTCTCTTCATATATTGTTAAAATGCAGTCTTTGTTCACGGAAAACTAAACAAAAATATTGTATGTGACATACTTTAGCCGTGATGGAGCTGAGAAGTTGAGCAAATTATAGGCGCTGAGTGATTAAGTGCTCAGGGTCACAACCATACCACCCCGTGGGGTGGCAGTTGCCTCGAATATAATTTTTTATAATTATTTTGATGTTTCTCATTCATTTCTTCACTGATTTTTTGCTGTAATATTATTCAAAAGTGAGTAATTTGTGGAATTTACATAGTTTAATGTGTGGAATATCACTATGCTCAAAATTATGGGGCTCATACTTGTGACATGTATATTATATTATATTCAACGATCAATCAAACAGTGTTTTTGCTGTTATTATACTATATACACATATTGTATAATCCTATCTACATGTTTGTGCACCATAATGAACCACAAAGATCGTGTGTTGAGAGTTTATATACACAGGAACAAGAATCCAAGGTCAGCTTAGTGGCCGAGAGCTGAGTGTGGTAGGGGCTGCCCCAAATTAATTTTTACATAATTATTTCAGTGTTTGTGAATGGTTTTATATCTAGTTTTATGCAGTAATTTGATTGAATTGTGTGTAATATGTGGAATGTATATACCAGTAATTAAATGTGTGGACCTTCACTATTCTAAAAAATATGGCACTCATATATAGTGACATATATGTCCATACCATGCTAATAAGTAGTTCTGGTGGATATGGTGACGAAATCAAAACACAGCATGGAGCCAAAAGCAGATGACGCCAGCAGTCACATGATGCACTACAATGCCTCCAATATTCTACTCATCTCGCTATGACTAGCTACAAAACTGCTGATGTTACCACATTCCTGTCGTAAAATCCCGAATATGAATCCATTTCCATAACAAAATGAACATTGGTGACGGAACATAGCGTCATTTCATGATACATAGATGCAGGAAGCAGTGGCTGGATGCTGTGCTCTCTACCTCATGCTGTGAATATCATAACTAACATTGTGTTCACTAATATCTGAACATTGTACATAGTCTTTATCACTGTCAGGATCATCTATAATACTATCAATGCAAAATAATTTCAGTTCCCTATTTTATTCATCATTACTAAATGATGCTGTGGCCCCTAGCTGCACAGTGGTGCTGTGCACGGCTCCTGCATGCGCCAGTAATGGTCGCGCTCTCAGTACTAAGGCTCTCACAGCCAGTACAGATGCTGATTTTTTTTTCAAGATGGAATCTGTTAACAGGAGTCCTAAGACACAGGACACAGGCAAGAAATAAATACAGAGGAAGACAAAACTGCTACAAGATGATCTAGATCGGCTTTAATGCTGAGAAATGTAGGGTACTGAGCTTAGGTAATAATAATAGTTACCAGATATCAGCTAGACAATGTTAAAATTGCAATATCTGAATGCAAAACATATCGAGGAGTCATGATTAATAGGGATATTAAGCCAAGAATCCATGCATAAATATAAGGCATAAAGAAATTGGGTACTGGGATTTATTTGTAAAAGCATTAGTAATAAGACTTCTTATTAATCTTCAGCATTATCATGCCCTTACTACGCCACATTTAGATTATGCACGTTAAGATTATTTTTGGGGGGAGCCCCTACGGTTCCCAGGAGCTATCTAGGCTGATATAGATGTCCCTAACTATGGCATCAGTCGATGTGGGTGGAGTTCTAGGCCTACCAGGAACCACAAGCCAGAACCTGGCGACCTCAGAGAGTCACAAGGAGCAATGGCCTATAGAAATGTACATGTGATTTTGGAGCATTCTACATCTGTCATCGACCGGGACAGGCACCCAGAAAGGTAAGCGCCCCAAAACAAACCCCTATTCTTGTTAAAAAATGCCAAAAATAGACAAACAAGTGAACAGAACTCCCCAACCGAAACAGAGCAAACAAGCATGACGTCACACGAGCCGCGCCGCATGTCTGCACAGCTCCTCCCTCCCTAGGAGGGGGGAAAAGGAAGCCCCCAGACCCCTGCGCCAGCAATCCACCCTTCAGTTCTTTGGCTGATAGGTTCATTCATTTGCAGCTGTCTCCTTCTTTTCCTGGCGAAGAATGACTACTGCTTTCCAGAGGGGTCCTTGGGTTGTTGATGCTTGGTTGGTCAGGCTGGGGGTGCATCATGTGTTCTGTCCGGTTGCAGCCCTCCTCGTTATTTGCGTGCCACGGCTTCTGTGTCTGGGGATGCGCTTTGGGTTGATCTGGTTTCCCTTCTTCCCTGTACGTGGGTACGGGTCTCTCAGGTCGTCTGCAGGGTTATTAAGTCTAGCCAGCCTGCGGTCTATTTCCGTGCCAACAACGATCGTAAGTTTGCTGCTCTTGCTGCCATTTTTTATATGTCCTGGGCTGACATTCGGGCACTGGGTTTTTGGCAGTCGAACAGGGTCCTGGCTGCACGCTACCTCGTTAACGTTCCTGGGCCTAGCCGGTGGCTGCAGCCAGTCTCGACTTCGAGTTGAGATGTGAAGCACTGACCACCTCCCGGATAAGTCCCCTTCTTTCTTTTTAGTCTTTGGTGAAGTAGCTCCGGAAAGCCATAGGGGCTCCCCCCCAGAAAACCAGCATTGAATGTAATTAAACGCCATTTTCTGGGTGAGTCCCTGTGGCTCCCCGGCAACCCTCCCTCCCTTCAGTCCGCGGTTTTTGCGTATTTTGATATCCAGCCTCAGAACTGCAGAGTAGATCGCCGGCCCACGGGTCTGGGGCTGCCCCATCCACCGCCCAGTAAGGGGGAAGCTGCGCAGACATGTGGCGTGGCTCGTATGACGTCATGCTTGTTTCCTCGTTTTCAATTGGGGAATTCTGTCCACTCATTTGTCCATTTTCGTTGTTTTTAACCAGAACAGGGGATTTGTTTTGGAGTGTTTATTTTTTTGGGTGCTTGTCCCAGTCGATGGCAGATACAGAATGCCCCAAAGTCACAATGTGCATTTCTATAGGCCATTGGTCCTCATGTCTCTCTGAAGGGGGCCAGGTACTGGCTCAGGATATCCATATTAGCCTAGATAGTTCTGGGAGCCTCTGGGCCTCACCCAGAAAATGGGGTTTCATTATATTCAATGCTGGTTTTTTGGACGTTAGCATGGTAACGAAAGCATGGAACGTAAGCATGGTAACGTAACATAAGTAACGTAAAAGTAACATAAGTAACGTAAGGTAACATAAGCATGGTAACGTAACGTAAGTAGCGTAAAAGTAGCATTAAGTAACGTAACGTAATGTAAAAGAACGTAAGCATGGAAGATGGTAACTGAGGTGTTTCCCTGGGAATGTATGGTAACAAGTGTATATTACGAGGTATAGTTGAGCAATTCATATCACATTTGTAGATAAAGTATACTTTAAAATTCACCTTGATTCTTTGCAGAGTACGTGTGTTCTTAAAGAAAATGATCCCAAAACCCATGAAATTCGTAGAAACATCTTTGATCGTTTTTTCAAATTAAAGCACACTGTAACTGTAGCGACAAATGGTGAGCAACTTAACCGTGAATGCAGCCTGTTCACAGATGATGGCAAGTGAGTGGAAATAATTCTCAATTTAATTTTATATGTTATTTGTTCCTCTGCATTAAAGATTACAATTAATTTTATAATTTTATTTTACATATGTTAATTTAATAATGCTTTAAGATGAAAGCTCATTCTGCAAAAATTTCTGATACAAATAACCTAACCCACACATGTGAAGAGAAACGACAGTGATGACAATGTAATCTGTCCTGGACCCGTATCAAGTCAACTTAGCAGTCCCTGTGAAGCAGTGGTAACACACTCGCCCTGGGTTCGTATCTGGGCCAGGGAGGATTGACTAGGTGCCAATTTTTATATGTACGCTTGTGTTGACCCAGCAGTGACTGGGTACCTGGTTGTTAAACGATTTGGCAGGTTGTATTCCAGGGGAAAAATTTTAAATATGGACCTGCCTGAAACACTATGCATGCTAGTGGCTTTGCAAGAATGTAAGAATTCTTGTACAGTATACACTGTATATAAAAAAAAAACTTGATGACTTGATAGGAGTCCATGATGGATTGAAATGTCGTTGTTTCAATCTTTTCATATATGTGGGTTGGGTTATTTGTTTCAACCACCTTAATATGACTTACTCTCTGCGTTTCAGATATGTTATTGTGGGATCAGCATCTATAGATGATGTTAACAGTATTGACCACTTTGATATGTACAGAAATAATGAATCAGTGACCCCAAACCCTCGTTCTCCTCTTGAAGATTACACTCTTCATATAGTTGATATTGAAATGGGCCGCCTCTGTGATTATAGGACGTTCCTGCATGATAAAATCTTCCTCTCGCACAATCAGGGACTTTACTTATATCGGCAGACTCTTGCTGTTCTTTCTGTGCAGCATCAGACCATACACATATTCCAGGTAAATAATTTTTATTTTTTTTCCAATGCACAGTTATTTTTGTTTTATTATGTTATGCCTTGTAAATAAACCATTATGATAGTTTCATGTGCCAAAGTTTATATTGATTATTTCATATGCCAAAAATTTAATTTTATGAAGATTACAAGTTATTCATTATCATTTCTGTGATGCAGAAATTATTGATGTCAGCTTTACATCTTACTCAGCTGTAGTGAAATTTTTATTTAAAGATCAAGCACTCAAATGACGCCTTTATAATTTCATATAAACGTAAAATTGTTACCCTTTTACCATTTATTTTGTAAATTGTAAATTCTTTCATTTACAATCAGTTATATGCATTTTCTGCTTATCTGCCTGTGTATTTACATCTCTGATTTATAGTTTTTTATTTTATTTTATTTTTGGTGAAAATGGCAGCACTTTAAAAGAACATAATATCCACCCACCTTTGAGAATTTCTAAAAATCAATTTTTTTTTATCATTTGCATAATTAATGTTGCCATAGTAATTGACTTCTCATGTACAGTCATGAGAAGTGGACTTCCACTGGAACAGAACTCCATCAGCTGCAATGCCAGATGAAATAGGAGTCCATTTTGTTAGTATGATCATTGTATCTGAATGCCACAGAACTAGTTAGAGACTTTCAGTTGAGTGAGCTTGTGAATTTGCTGGACCAGAATTCACTTCTGATAAACTTCAAGAAAATCAGCAGGGGTTTGGTTTTTGCTGTTGCAATTGCCAATAGTGCTTTCTTGGGTGCCTTGTCTCACCACTACTCTTTGTGCTCCTACAGGGCCTTCATCCTGCTCTTATCTTTCTGGCCTTGTGTCTGTGGTTAATTTTGGCAGGTTATAACTTTAGTGTTTGCAGTTGGGCTTCTTTCTTTGGCTTTGTCCTGCAGTGTGTGCCTGTTTTTTATCCTGTGTATTGGCATTGTTTGACTATTGATCCTGTTCTGCCCTTTGATTTTTTTGGGCCAGCTCCCATTCTTCATCTTGCTTTTGATTGGTCTGGCCTTGGTTGAGACATTACTCCTTTTCTTGGTCTGGGCATTGGAGTGGGTACATCAGATGCCACTTATATTTCACTTTTTTTTTTTTCTGCTGTGGTGTGGCTTCCCTGGAGATTTTTCTCTCAGTCTGTTTGCTTCTCTGGCCCAAAAAGTCACATAGAGCCTGATGTATGTAGTAGTGTCTTGGGTATATATACGTACAGTGGTACCTTGGTTTACAAACGCCCCTGTTTACGAACTTTTTGGGTTACGAGCCCGATTTGTTGGGAAAATTTGAATCGGAATACGAACTTTACCTCTGGATACGAGTTTATTGATGCGTGTATGGCCAACCTAGCGCGTGGTGGTACGGCGATCGCACCTCAGTTTACCAGCACCTCGCGCCCAGTGACTATCCCGCCTGAATACTTCGCAAGCATTAACAGTTTTTTCAGATTTTTGGCTATTTGAGCATAAAAGTTGTTATTATATATCTCACCATGGGAGATACACTGTATATAAAATATAAAATAACCTTTCAGCTAGTTTCTCCAAGAAAGCCAGTGGTAAGGTTCAAGGCAAGAAATCACATGTGAGAATGACCACAGAGAAAAATAAGAGATCATTCGTAAACATGAAAATGGTACATGTGTTGTTGAACTAACTAGGCAGTATAACAAATCTTCAGGGGAGGAGGAGGAGGAGCCAGTAGAGGATGTCCCATCCTCATTAATTAAGAAAATGTGTGCAGTATGGGAAGAACTGCAAAGTTTTGCTGAAAAGAATCACCCAGATAAAGCTTTAGCAGGCCGTTGCATTGATCTTATTAATGACAATGTGATGTCTCACTACAGACAAGTGTTACAAAGAAGGAAAAAACAATCTTCAAGAAAAACAATGAGAAAATCATGCGGTGAGCCAGAAGCAGGTTCTAGTGGTATGCAGGCAAAACGTGCCAGAGTGAGTACCCCAGAGAAATCATCACTGCCTGATGTTATAATGGAAGAGGACTCCCCTTCCAAACAATAACACCTCTCCTCTCTCTTCCCCCCCCCCCACACCATCTTCCCCCCCCCCCCCCCCCCCCCCCCCCCCACCCCACACTAACACCTCTCCTCTCTCTTCCCCCCCCCCCTCCACACCATCTTCCATATGCCAACAGGAGTCATCAGCAAGGGTAAGTAATAACTTGAGCATACTTTTGTAGTGAAGATTTGGATGAATTAGGTATAAAATTTACTTTGAAATGAAGTTTTTGGAGAGTCAGGAACAGATTAATTCATTTCCCATTATTTCTTATGGGGAAATTTGCTTCGGTTTACAAATTTTCGGGTTACGAACTGCCTCCAGGAATGGATTAAATTCTTAAACTGAGGTACCCCCTATATACTAGCTAATAGTTAAGGAAGCTACTAAGGGACCACTCGGAAAGAAGCATTTCAATCCTCTCAATGCCTAATTTTTTCAGATAACAGCAGATGGATGCTTCTTGGATGTTCGCACAATTGGCAGGGTTTGCTATGAGGATGATGACTACTTGCTGGCCACAGTCTGCACAGATCGAATGCTACGCACTTATCAGCATGTTAGAGAGAAAATAATAAATTGCCTTAAGCACAGGTAAGCTTTAGCAAGCTTTAAACTAATCTTTAAGAGTTTCTTTGGGATTCTAGTGATATAACTCAATAGTTGTTGTATATAACCTCATCATGGACCATCTAACAAACATTTTTGTTCTTGTCCTGTTCACGTTTATTTTGCCATCATTAGACCATTAGCCTTGTCAGTTATTGCACTGCAGAGAGAGAGGGGACAGAGAACATTAATACTTTGTTTATTAATAATTACTGCTTGCTAATTATTGTTAATAGTAGTACAGTATAGTATTGGATTACACATATTCAGAGTTTCTTGGGTAAACAAATCTCAACCAAGTTTTTAAGTGTGATCGATAAATTATGAAATTAGATTGGTTGAAACTAAATTAACGTGCTAATCTTTGGATCTACCATGTTCTCGGCAGTGATATACCATGCTAATTCTTGGGTCTACCTTGTTTTCAACCTTGAATAATGCTCCCACACACTTAGATTCTTGTTTTTCACACTATTTGTTTTATATTTATGTATTTATGCACATTCTAATCAGTCTGGACTTCAGTGTGTGCTGAGTTTCTGTTTAGAAAGTGGAGTGAGTAATAAATTATTAATGTTGAAAATAGGGCAACTGATTCTTTATCTTTGGGACAATTTTCATGAATACGCTTCTCATGCAACATTTGTGTTTAAATAGGTTTTCCTGGCATATAGTCATTTGAGTCTTGTGCTTTTGGCATTGGGTCTCCTGGAGAAGTTGTTTGTCACAACACTGAATGCTGGTCTTGACATCCAGGTCAGAGCTCTCTTGAAAATGCTTGCCTATTTCAACCGATGCATGGGTTAGTAAATATAAATTACCTTCATGTTCTTTTCTTTGGTGGTCCTGTGGAATGAAAGATTGATGTTCGCTGTACAATGTTAACTAGCATTCCACAACAAAGAAACAATCCTTGTCATTAGCTCTTCTTTCTTTCTTCACTTTGTTGGTCAAGGAAATTAAATTTGTACAGGAGTCCCTCCAGCTACATTTTGGTGTAGCTTGCATTTGTCTCCTGCTATTGGCCACTGGTGAGCAAGATACATGTACTGTTCTGCAGTTTCAGGTTTGCAATTTTTTGGGTTATGGAAACTTTAGTAAGACTCCATCCCTGTCTATTTTTCCTCTCCAAGACTGGGACTAGCTCATTTTAGCAAGGTACCATACTCCTTACAGCATAATTTCTTCTTCTCAAGGGTTCTTCTTATTCATTCTGGCAACTTGCTCCAGGAATATCTGACTGCCTCCTGTTACATGTCTTCTGACAGTCATGTGTGCTTATCATTGCTCCCAAGTTGTCTGCTCCAAGTCTCAAATCTTTTGGTTGATGATGCGTATTGAACCCATTGCTTATTACTTGGCTTATCCTTATTATCAGTAGAAATTCACCACCTAAATGAGATTTTTTTTTGTAATACCTTGCTCAAAGATCCAACCACAGGGGTAGGTTTGATCCTCTAATTTGGTGATTCATATGCCAACAAATATTTTCTCAAGATTCCTCATTCTTTCCATGGTGTATGGTGTTTAGGTCATCTCTCCATTGGTTGACCTTGAGTGGTAGTGGTGCTGGGTTTTTTGTTTCCAGGTCTCGCCTTTTCCATTTAAGCATTTTTCACCTTCATTCAACACTGTTCTGCATAACCTTCCCTTTTCTATACTTTCTCCTTTTTTTCGGGTTGGTATCCGAGGCTTCCTTTAGAGAGCAGTCAAATGTCATAGCTCTGAAGTAAGGTTTTTAAGCAATATGAAAAGCATCTTACTGTATAGAATCATTTGGTTGTATACATGTTCTCACACCTTGTCTTTCATTCCTTTATGTGTGTGCACTTTTTCTCATTTCCATCACTTAGAATGTGTGTGTGTGTGTGTAGATTTATATTTGGAAATTCTGAGTTGGTGTTAGTGTTACCTGGTAGTCGGTTGGCAGATTTAACTATGCGGGCCAATGGGCAGTTATGAAACCACAGTTAGCAGTCATTTCTGAAACCATGTGAGGAGTTGGTATGATGAGTTTTTGTTTTGACTAACTGTTCATGAATTCTGGCTATAACACAGAATATACTTTCCTTAGGGGAACTACCAAATGGTTCTGCTCAGAAAGATGGTTTTCATTATGATTCAAAGTCTTATTTTTGGTCATATGTAATCTTCCATCCAATATCCTCTTTCATTTCATCTGGGCTGATGCCTCACCATCCTATGGAGCAGGAAAATGTAGTAATTTTAATGATAATGATTATGAATAATCAGTAACTGATGCTTAAAATCATTTGACAGGCTTCTTGTGTTTCTCTATCAGCGTGCTGAAGCAATTAGTAAGGAAGAAAGTAACCCTCGTGCATTACGTGAATTTTTTCACTACTTTGACCACCTCCACCGCCTTCGCATGTGGAAAATGCAGCTCCTTGATGATGTTCACTTACTCATAAAGGTGTGGTATCAATTCAGAAAAAGTGCAATCTTTTTAAATGCTAGCTGTAAAATATAGCCCCAAGATCATTTTTGTTTAGTAGAAGGTAACTTAAACTCATTGTAAATTTTATCTCTTGCGTTTAAAACATTTTGATTTTTGTTTTTGATTACTTAAGTAAGTTTTCTTCACAAGAGTACAGAATTATTTCTAGCCCCAGTAGGATAGTTTCCTGGTTATATATATATGTAATATATAAGATTCCTATAATATTAGCTGTTATTACCCGTGCTGTACAGTAATGCACTGTCTGGAGACTCCAGAACAATTGCTATATTCTCATGTGATCAGTGAGCTCATTATCTTATGACTTATCCAGCTTCATTCATGATTCTAATACTGTCTCATTTAACCATTTCTTTCCATTTTGCTGTGACAGATGGCCAAATGTTCAGAAACATTCTCTAATTGGTAAAATTGGACTGACAAAAATTCAGCTATAATCTGCAAACTTTTCACTCTACAATACTTAGTCATTACATGTATTATACAATGAAATCATCATTATGTGATATGTGGGATGTGAGTTTGATCCCATCATATGTCTTCAATATTTTCCCCATTACATAACCATGCATCTGATTCCCAACAGTATGCTTCTGAGGATGTGGTGACCCTTCGAGCTGCTGAGCCCAATGGACAGCCATCCTTTTTTGTGGTATATAACATGATCTCAACTGAGGTCCTTGCAGTCTATGAAAATACATCTTCAGAGCTCCTGGAGCTTTTCGAAAAGATGGCCGATTTTTTCCGCAATGCAAGACTTAGTTGTGAATCCCAGTTCACATGCTCACCATCTAATAATAACTGGGCAAGGTAATATTTTTTACATTTATTTAAATACTTTGTTTTTGAGAATACTTAACAAGTAATAATGGAATATGAAAGGCATCGCTTAAATTTTCCATCCTAATGGTTCAGATGTTAGATTTCAGCTAGTTTCTACTTTGGGTGGACAGCCTTCCCCCTACATTTCTGGCGAGCCTGCCTAGTATCAAAAACTGTTTGGTCTATTTTCAAAATTATGAATGAAATTGGATGTTTTATTGCCAAAAGTTCACTGCATTATATACATATTTGGCAGCTTAGGATGAATGAATATGATAAAAGATGATGCTTTCACAATGGAGGTAATTTGGCCTAATTTTCATTGTTATACAATGTTGTACTTCAAAAAGCAGTTAAAGTCAATTGGTTTGATATGCTCAATAAAATATTGGTATTATATGTGTAAATATAAAATATTGTACTTTGATTCAAATTAGTGACATTGCAACAACCAGAGTGTAGTTTGTTGTTTGTTTGCTACTAAGAGTGCTACTCTTAGTAGCAAACATTACACAAGTACCATCCATATGGGCCATTAGGCCTTCTGCAGTTGCATTTAACCACCTGTTTTTATGCACCTAAAATTAGATTTATTAGTGCATTTTTTCAGATGAATATGTTCAGTATTGCTTGCTACAAAAGTTAATAAAAGTTAATGATGCAACTGCTTGGCATGTACAATTTTTTCTTACCAATTTCAAGTGTATCTTTTTTATTGCTTACAATTTTGTTTAAGTTCTACTTTGAAAAATTACATAAATATTGTCATTTGTTTCTGCAGGTTGATTCACAAAAGGTTTAAGAAAACTATCATCAATGCTCGTGGTGGTGGTGTCACAGAAGCCACGAAGCGACTCTTGGGCCAATTGCCAATCTCGGCTCAATCATTCTCCGCTTCCCCTTACCTCGATTTAACACTTTTTTCATATGATGATAAATGGGTCTCGGTAATGGAACGTCCTAAAAGCTGTGCTGATCATCCCATTAGGTGAGTTTCTGGAGGAGTCGAATGATGGCTCCCTGTTTCTAGCTACACTAAGATAGTTCTACACATACAAGTCATATCAGCCATTGAGAGTCCTTTACTAGCTTGTCTGTCTGATTTTTTGCATGATCACTTTAGCTCAGTTCTGCCTGGTTTTTCAGGAAGTTTTTCAAACAAGTATACATATACTGATAAGGATCATGATTTTGAGGAAGTGTCTTTAACACTTTAGGCGGGCACGGACTGAAAATGTGCCCATTAATAACTCTACGGATGTCCGGCGTGGATGCATGTTGCGTCCAAAATTAAAATATTTGTTAAAATTCAACTTATTGTTTGATTATTATGGGATAGTTTTAAAATGTGCGCCTTTAGATTGCGAACAATTTGATACTGAAATGAACGATGTAGCACGAAAATTAAAGCCAGAACACTGGAATGAGTATAAATACTTGTGTGGTGATTTGCGTCCAAAATTAAAATATTTGTTAAAATTCCATTTATTGTTCGATTATTATGGGATTATGTAGTTCTATAATGCACGTCTTTTGATTATGAACAATTTGATACCAAAATGAACGACATAGCACAAAAAGTGAAGTGTGAAAACTGAAAAGAGTATACACATTTTAGTGTGGTGCACACTCATGGGAAATGCCAGGCCGACCTTGGGGTAGGCTAGGGTGCACATTCTGGGTTGCGCAAAGTGTTAATACATGATTAGGAAAAAAATTACATAGAAATCAAAGTTACCTGTTTATTTGATTACTTTTCAAACTCAAGATGCATCTGATGTACACACAATACCTCATGTGTTGGCTGAGTTATTCGTTTTGGCCACATTATTGTAACTTATTCTCTGTACATAGAAAACTTTCTTTTATCTTATTTGTTTAAATATTATTATCTTTTGTATCCTAGTCTGATACTTTGGTCTTAACAGTACTGTACATCATTTCTACCAGATTTTATGGGCGCGATTCAGGTTTGATCAAGTTCAGTATCAATGCAGGACGAGCAGGCCTTCCTGGATCAACTGTTCCAGCATCTACTGCACGACGACTAGTTGCATTTACATTCCATCCTGCCGATCCATTTACTATATCAGTCCAAAGGGCAAATGCAGATTATGTTGTTAATTTTCATTTGAGGCATCAGTCTAGTTAATTTAGAAAACTGATTTGATATTTTCTACTCCTGTTACCTCCATTAAGGTGATACGTAAAAAACCTACCCCCTTTGAATTTTGTATCTGCTTATCATGTTACTTGCAATCATTGGGGAGGTACTGTTATTTTAATAATATAGGTTTAGCACTTTTCTCCACATATAATTTCCTAAATATTTTTTGTCTGAAAATTTGTATAATGCTTTCTTGATGCATATTAATAAATAAGAAGTACTGTATTCCTATTGGCCACTCACCTGCAATTATCCTAAGGCAATCATGTAATTTTTCCTTATCTTACTGTATTTTTGTTTAGCTTTCACTTTCTAATTTCCACTGAAGACATTTCAGTGGATATTTTTTATTTTTACTTATGCCTTTTATTGTTGTTTATTTTATATGTTAATCTTTGTGATAAGCATTATTAACATTATTTTTTGTATATATATATGTTTTGAGTACCAATACTTTTTCATGGATAATGAAGCAATAAGTACTTAGGCTCACTGAGGTATTCCTCGGTCAACTACTGACCTCTAGAATACAATCCAGAACAGTTTCCTAACTCCCAGGTACCCATATACTGCTAGGTAAACAGAGACATTAGTTGAAAGGAAACATGTCCAACCATTTCTGTGTTGCCCAGGAATCAAACCAGAGATCCTAGATTGTGAGGTAAGGATGTAAACTACTGTACTGCTGCAAGTGATTTTCATGCATTAAGTTCAATGGTGTCATGAAAGAGGTCAAGTTAAGAATGTTAGATGATGGTGTAAACTTAGTGGTAAGTACTAATATAAGTTGGTGAAAAATTTAAAATTGTATGTATTTTGATAATATAGTTCTTTTAGTAGTGACAGACTTGTGTAAACCACTTGAAACTTTACTGATGTGTAAAAGAATTTTATTTAAAAGTAATGTTAACAAATGTAATGTTATGGTAGTGGAAAGAGAAGGAAATCATGTGTGTGAAATGTATGTGAATGGTGGAGTGGTGGGAGGATTGGGCAGTTTAAATGCTTAATATATGTGATTGCTTAAGTGGAATTTGTTAAGTGGCTGTTGCAATAAAGGCTCTGATAGAATCAGAGCCTATCTGAAAACGAAGATAGAAATAGATTAAGTTAAAGAGCTGTATGAGGGAGTGCTAGAGATGACCTGTATATACAAATGCCAGTCTATGGCATACTATGACTGAAAAAAAATCAAGAAATAGAATAGTAGAAAGTCTGAGAAACATTTAAAGAATAGTAGAAAGTCTGAGAAACATTTATGGTGCTGGAATAGGTGCAGTATAGAAATAAAATACTGTATTATGGAGAGAAGCATAGTGTACAAATTTTTAAATGGCAACACTGTATAGAATGTACTGAGATGGGTTGGACATTTTGAAAGATTGAAGAGTATATTAAAGTGAATTTAAGGGTAGGATGAGAAGAGAAAGGTCAGGAAAAAGGTAGGTTTACATGATAAGTGTGCATGCAAGGAAGCAGAGATCGAGTGTGATCAGTGCATTGGACATGTTTGTAAACAAGGCCTTACGTAAGACCAAAGAGAAAGGGGGTTAGATGAGACCTCAAAGAACTTGAGTTCCCATCTGGTTGCAATTGGATGTATCAGTCAGAATATCTATCCTATGGCAATGAATATTTGCCTTGCTTACCTTTTTCCTTTAATTAAGCAGTCATTTTCTATGGGAGCCCCTATGGCTCGCAGGAGCTATCCAAGCTGATATGGATATCCCTAACTTTGGCATCAGTCGATGTGGGTGAAGTTCTAGGCCTACCGGGGACCATGAGCCAGAACTTGGCCCCCTCAGAGAGACATGAGGAGCAATGGCCTATAGAAATGCACATGTGATTTGGGAGTATTCTATATCTGCTATCGACCGGGACAGGCACCCAGAAAAGTAAGCGCCCCAAAACAAACCCCTATTCAGGTTAAAAACAATGAAAATAGACAAACGAGTGGACAGAACCCCCCCCCCCCCCAATCCCCAATAAAAATGAACAAACAAGCATGATGTCACATGAGCCACGCCGCATGTCTGCACAGTTTTTCCTGTTCCCAGGAGGGGGAAGGGGAGCCCCGCGCCGGTGATCCACCCTGCAGTTCTTCGGCTGATGGGATACAGCATGGTCATGTGGCTCCAGCTCTGGACTCTCTTCTCCTTGGTTTGTTGTGGCCTCCTTCGGTTCAGGATTGTTTTTCTAAGGCTCTTTTTCCTGTTGGCATCGGCCTCTAGGGATCGGGTCAGGGAGCGTCATGCTCTCCTCCAGTGTAGGGGTTTGTGCTCTTTCGGTTGTGGTGATAGGTTCGTTCGTGTGCAGCTGTCTCCTTCTTTTCTGGCGAAGAATGAGACTGCTGCTTTCCAGAGGGGTCCTTGGGTTGTTGAAGCTTGGTTGATCAGGCTAGGGGTGCATCATGTGTTGTGTCTGGTTGTGGCCCTTCATCGTTATATGTGCATCACGGCTTCTATGTCCGGGGATGCGCATTGGGTTGATCCGGTTTCCCTCCTTCCTTGTTTGCGGGTACGGGTCTCTCAGGACGTCTGCAGGGTTATTAAGTCTAGCCAGCCTGCGGTCTATCCCCGTGCTCATGACGTTCGTAAGTTTGCTGCTCTTGCTGCTGTCTTTGGTAACATGTCCTGGGCTGACATTCGGGCACGGGGTTTTTGGCGGTCGAACAGGGTCGTGGCTGCACACTACCTCGTTAACGTTCCTGGGCCTAGTCGGGCCTGTGTCACTTTGGGTCGGCGGCTGCAGCCTGTCTCAACTTCGCGTTGAGATGTGAAGCACCGACCACCTCCCGGGTCAGGAGGCCTGGACTTTTCATTCAAAGGTCCCCTTTTCCTGAACTGGGCCGCATGCACAGCTTTTTTTTTCTAAAATGTTCAAAAATTTTAAATAAGAAAGTGTGCACACAGTAAGCAAGTGTATGTGGACAGGTGAGTGCAAAGTTACTTCAGAGGGAAAGATAAGTATACAGTACAGTACAGGGTACAGTATATGCAAATACATGTAATGACATTAAACCTACAGAGAGAACAATATCAATAAATACGGTATGATCAAAATGCTTGTACATTCTTCATAAGGCCCTTGAATAATAGAGGATGACCATATTGAGGCAGGTTGTCTAGAAATTTTAAATGTTTTCTAGTATTATTTAATATTCAAATTTGTTTTTTTACATTTTAAAATGGCAAACAGTCATATTAATCTTTGTTCATTTTGATTTGAAATGAAGCATCTAGGCATTATGTGTCTTCCCTTTGCAAATAAAAACGAGATTTTATTTACAAAAATTTTTAAATATTGGTATTACAGTATTTACATTCAATGTGTTTTGGATAAAGAATATTCATTACCACATGCCAAAAGTAAAATAATTAAGAATATCAAGAGCCAATATGTAAATAAAATTTTTATATATATTTCATAGTGTTGCATGAACTTTATCCTTTTATTACTGATCCTGAAGAAGTGCTATAATTAATTTGTCATTGTTCATGTAATGTTTTGTTATTAAAAGTGTATATTCTGTATATATATATAATTATGTAATATATAATAAAGTGTATTTTCATATTATGTATAAGTATACAATAGTGGTACATTATTTTCTTTTTAATGTAAGGAAAGGTAACTGATAAATTTAATAAAAGCCTATTTTAGTTGTGATAGTTTCCCCTTTACCCATATTACATATGACAAACCATTCCTTCTATTACTCGAGCTTATCAGGACATTTACAGCATTACCATACTTAGTGGCATACTATATGCACTATGTATAAACCATATGGTGGGTTTGGAATTTCGTATTTGAATATTTCGTAGAAAAAATGTTGGTCCTTGAAGTTAGCCAATAATTAATCCTTTCATTGTAGCAATTCAAGTTTGGCCTCTAATTTATCTTCTTTTTTACTTTTTATTATGAAAACAGACCTTCTCTTTAAATTTTTAAATTCAGTTAATAGTCGTACATACTAATACACATTTGTACCACATTAGTAATCATCCATGTAGTGTAACATGTTCAATATGATTAAATATACTTGACAGAGAACTGAGCTTCTCTTTTCATAAGTTTTTAACTCTATATTTAATTTGAATTGCAAGACTATTTCCACTTTCAATTTATAAATATATATATATATTATATATATATATAAAATATGTTCAGAAATATTAGTTTCAATCATTTTTTTAAGACAATATAATTTTACAGTATGGTATATCTTTTCTGTTTCTTCCTTGGGAAAGTTTTTAAAAATTTTCTAGTGACGATCAATGTTAAATAGCTATTCAGTACGGTATATTGTATTACTAATATCTTCCAAAGCTTCCACCAATTGGCCTGAACTTGTGTTCAGTGGCTCAAGCTTTACTGCCAAGATTTGACTGTCAATGGAGAAAAAATCATTAGGATTTCACCATATCAGTGACTTCCTAACAATTTCACAATCCATTTTTCTACAGTAGTTATTTTTTACATTTTAACGTACTTATTTTAATGAATAAAAAATATTAACTAAAAATAATGATGTACTTTAACAGGTACAGAATTTGATTATATCAATCTTATTTAACAATAATTTTTCTCAGTAATTTATTAAGTACTAATTTCTATCAGTCAACATATAAATGAAAGACAAATGTTTAAAAAAATATTATTAAAATTTGTCTAAAAATAAAAAATTACAATAGTAATTATTTGTTCTATCCATCATACATTTTTTACCTTGAAAAAATAGGCGTATGTAAGGCACAAATTTGCATTATGTTAAATGAAATATTAGTTTCATAGGCATGCATAAATGGGAAAACATGGGAATAAATATTATTTTAAAGGTTCATGAATCAGACTACCACAATCGTGCAATTAAGATGCCTTGCATGGTAAAATTATTAAATTCAACAGTTAGTCATGGGAAATAGTACAATAGCACATATATGCTAGAAACTAATCCAAATAAGACATCTTAATAAATACCTTCAAACAATAAATATCTAGTTATTTTAAGATGGTCAATAACTGGCAGAAACATGCATGCTGGATATTGTCAAACATATGATACAAAATAAATCTTATACTATATGTAACACAATAAAACATTACCTCAAGGAAGAGGTGGTTTAAAATTATTCAACAGCATTTGTGTATTCATTTTTCTTGTGCCATTTTATGTGCCGAGTATAGTAAGCCTTTGAAGTGTAACTTTTGTTACAAAATGTGCACTTGAATGGCTTTTCTCCTGTATGAATCCACATATGCACCTTGTAGGCATCATGCTTAGAGAAAGTCTTCAGACAGATGGAGCATTTGTAGCATTCATTTTCATTGCATTGTACCTTCGAGGCATGCTGTTTGTGCTGGTATGTAAGTATCTCTGGGTGGCTTTTCAAATGCTTTTCCAGTTTCGAGACGTCATTTGCAACGTCACCATTGATACCACATGTAACTGATATCTGACTGCAGTCTCTACCATGGATTTTCATGTGGAGTCTCAGTCCCACGAGATTATTACTCCGATAGTAACATACGCTACACTCATAGTATACTGGCTTACTATTTGTCTTTAATTCTGTGTCCACAGCCTGCTCATTTTGGTCCATGGAGGAGGAGGCTTCATCATTTTCAAATCCCTTCAACATTTTAGGGTTCTTTTGATGTGAATTATCTTTCTCTATTTCCCTCTTATTGCATTTCTTGGGAAGTGAATGTGCTAACTGTGGTATATTCTCACTCTTAATGGAATCCTGTGGCAGAGCTAAAGGATTTGCACTGCAATTTACTGTTCCCGAGACCTCAAGTGAAGAAGTCTGCATAGTATCTATGTTCTCTGTTGTAAACGTGTGCTCATTCACAGCAGAGTAATCTAACCTATCCTGGAGTGAATTATCTGGCTCATGTGTGTTCTTCACAGGACTGCAAGTATACTGCTCGGGATTGTATGTATGCAGCTCAAGATTGCATCCTTGCTGCTCAGGACTGTGTCCATACTGCTCAGGACTGCGTCCATGCTGCTCAGGACTGCGTTCATGTTGCACAGGACTGCGTTCATGTTGCACAGGACTGCGTTCATGTTGCACAGGACTGTGTCCATGCTGCTCAGGACTGCGTTCATGTTGCACAGGACTGCGTCCAAGCTGCTCAGGACTGCGTTCATGTTGCACAGGACTGCGTCCATGCTGCTCAGGACTGCGTTCATGTTGCACAGGACTGCGTTCATGTTGCCCAGGAGTGTGTGCATGCGGCCCAGGAGAGTGTGCATGCGGCCCAGGAGTGTGTGCATGCGGCCCAGGAGAGTGTGCATGCGGCCCAGGAGAGTGTGCATGCGGCCCAGGAGAGTGTGCATGCGGCCCAGGAGAGTGTGCATGCGGCCCAGGAGAATGTGCATGCGGCCCAGGAGAGTGTGCATGCGGCCCAGGAGAGTGTGCATGCGGCCCAGGAGAGTGTGCATGCGGCCCAGGAGAGTGTGCATGCGGCCCAGGAGAGTGTGCATGCGGCCCAGGAGTGTGTGCATGCGGCCTCGGAGTGTGTGCCTGCGGCCCAGGAGTGTATGGCTGCGGCCCTGGTGTGTATGGCTGCGGCCCTGGTGTGTATGGCTGCGGCCCTGGTGTGTATGGCTGCGGCCCTGGTGTGTATGGCTGCGGCCCTGGTGTGTATGGCTGCGGCCCTGGTGTGTATGGCTGCGGCCCTGGTGTGTATGGCTGCGGCCCTGGTGTGTATGGCTGCGGCCCAGGTGTGTATGGCTGCGGCCCAGGTGTGTATGGCTGCGGCCGAGGTGTGTATGGCTGCGGCCCAGGTGTGTATGGCTGCGGCCCAGGTGTGTATGGCTGCGGCCCAGGTGTGTATGGCTGCGGCCCAGGTGTGTATGGCTGCGGCCCAGGTGTGTATGGCTGCGGCCCAGGTGTGTATGGCTGCGGCCCAGGTGTGTATGGCTGCGGCCCAGGTGTGTATGGCTGCGGCCCAGGTGTGTATGGCTGCGGCCCAGGAGTGTATGGCTGCAACCCAGGTGTGTATGGCTGCAACCCAGGAATGTATGACTGCAGCCTAGGAGTGTATGGCTGCGACCCAAGAGTGTATGGCTGCGACCCAGGTGTGTATGGCTGCGACCTAGGAGTGTATGGCTGCGACCCAGGAATATATGGCTGCGACCCAGGTGTGTATGGCTGCGACCCAGGAATGTATGGCTGCGACCCAGGAGTGTATGGCTGCGACCCAGGAGTGTATGGCTGCGACCCAGGAGTGTATGGCTGCGACCCAGGTGTGTATGGCTGCGACCCAGGTGTGTATGGCTGCGACCCAGGAATGTATGGCTGCGACCCAGGAGTGTATGGCTGCGACCCAGGAATGTATGGCTGCGACCCAGGAGTGTATGGCTGCGACCCAGGAGTGTATGGCTGTGACCCAGGAGTGTATGGCTGCGACCCAGGAGTGTATGGCTGCGACCCAGGAGTGTATGGCTGCGACCCAGGAGTGTATGGCTGCGACCCAGGAATGTATGGCTGTGACCCAGGAGTGTATGGCTGCGACCCAGGAATGTATGGCTGTGACCCAGGACTACACGAATACTGCACAGGACTGTACACTACATTTTGCGTGAAGGAGACTGTCGGTGGAGAAACATTCTGACGCCTGCCAGGCTTGGGCTGAGGGTAGGAACGCTGGGTTTCGTTGATGCTAGGCTCGTATTGCTGCATTCTCTGACATGCTCTTGTTCCGGCACACTGAAGACCTGAAAGAGAGTTACAAGTGTTTCATTCTAACCAGCAAAATCACTATTGAAATAAGATTTTTATTAATAGATCCCGAGCAATTTTACGATGAAAAATAACATTCTTTATTGCTAATGCTCCTTGGTATACAACCCGCTACCCTATTTCAAACATTGATATAAATAGAAAAAACAGGGGAGGGGAGGACATTGACAAGCCGCTGTCATACTGTCCCAGTCGAGGCCACACGATATGCTGGCCTAAGAGAAAAATTCTGGTAAATAATAATTAGGAAGTACCCCACCACCAGAGTAATTCCTCAAAAATAAAAATATTGGACCTTGCCTTTGTCATGAAGTTCAATATTCCCATGTGTGATGGCGAGACGATGAATCTCCTTATCCGGGTAGGATGGAGTGTTGTTTGGCGAAGGATACTTGGACATCATCCGTTGGTCTGTGTTCTTGACAAAAATACTACCACCACTTGTGTTGTAACGCCGGGACACAACTCTGTTTTCTGCCCAAGGCGTCGGAGGCCGTTCATCCACATTGCGAATATCTCTCTGAACTGTGTACGAATGACGGCCATTACCAATACCTATGGAGTCCCTGTGGAACACAGCTATCCTGTTATCTGTCCCAGGCGTCATAAGCCATTCCTCCATATTGCGAGTATTCCTCTGGTTGAGGCCGTTACCACCACTGGCGTCACTTTGAAACACAACCTCATCGTTATTTCCCAGTGGAGCAGGTAACAGTTTCCCAACGTTGCGAATGTCTTGCTGGTCTGAGAACACCTGCTTGAGGTCAATACTCCCACCCTGCAGTGGTTTGTATTGCTTTGTAGAAAATTCGTCCATTTAGTTTAATCACTCGTAGTCTTCATACTGTTAAAGTCGAATGATTACTTAAGTGCTAGCCGAACGATTTTAAACCTGAGCAGAGAGCAGAGAATTGTGCAACTCCAGTCGTTGCCAAACAACGATATCACTCACTGGAGAGCAGGAGAGCAATGACATTTGTAGTTGCCTATATGTAAACATAACCTTCCATGCGGATGACAGCTGTGGTATTGTTAGGTGTAGTGGTTATTCTTGAAACATGCCAGTTAGCACCGAGATATTATATAGGAATAAATGAATGTGCGGAAGGCCTATTTGCTTTCTACAAATTCATCCTTCTTTGTTCTCTAAAGATCCGAAAGTGATTCCGTGCCAACCTGTCCTCGACCCCACAGACGCATTCATCAATTTTTACATGCTGTTCAGTCAAAACGAGAATTTACTAGTAATTAATAATGTTGCATATATAGGTAAAGGTTAGGTTAGGTGTTTAGGTTCTGTTGGCGATTATTTTTATTTGTAGTATATGGGGGAAGCATTTACAGCGTTGTGGTTCGAACAAAATTCGTCAGTGAAGCACATGTTCCGAAGTGTTCGAACGAAATCAGTTGAGTGTCTTGTGTAAACGGGTTTTCATTCGGGTTTGGCGAGTGCAAGGAATCACTTTTGGGTCTTTCTTTGGAGGAAGGACCGAGTATCTGGTCATTGTTTAAGAGGCATTTGACGTAATTTGACGAAGCATTTGCAGAGTTGCAATTCGAACAAAGGTAGTTAGCGAAGCATTGTTCGAGTGCCATCAGTCGAGTCGTTTGTAAACCATTTTTCCATCAAACAGGCGGTTTGGCAGCTGGATTAACAACCATTTAGCCTTTGTTGATAAGGACCTGTATTTAATGAATCCTTACAGTCTAGCAAAGAAGCGCAAGCATGAATAATTGCAAACATTGAGCTACTCTTTATGAAGGAGGAAATAGATCACTCGCTTCAAATTATCTGCCAATTTAAGCGTCAATTTAAGGTTTTCCGATTCATACGGCCGCAGTCTGTCTTACAGACTGAAGATGTCTTACATAATAAAATGCAGTACATAAATTAAATTATCAACATACAATAATTATAACAATGACAATAATAACCACAAGTAATAATATAATTTATTACATCTAATATTTTATAATTTCATTAAATAATAACCAATAATTAGTAATTAAATGTTGCTTTCAGATTTACACCCACCCAAGTACCCACTCACTGCTGGGTGAACAAATGCGTATATATATCCTCGGCCAGGATGCGAACCTAGGCCAAATCAATTGCGAAGTGGGGCGAGTGTGTAACGCTGCGCCAATGGGATTTAGTTGCGAGATAACGGTAATACAATCAGATACATTATAAATCTGCTTAGTTTAGTTTCTAATCGACTTTTAAATGTCTCCAGGCACCAAATGTCTAGTATTTTAAGATGGCCAGTGACCCGTACTGGATATCAGTTAATATACGATATGTTGACCAGACCACACACTAGAAATTGAAGGGACGACGACGTTTCGGTCCGTCCTGGACCATTCTCAAGTCGATTGTGAGAACGACTTGAGAATGGTCCAGGACGGACCGAAACGTCGTCGTCCCTTCAATTTCTAGTGTGTGGTCTGGTCAACATACTTCAGCCACGTTATTGTGACTCATCGCCTGCATAATATACGATACATTAACCAAATACATTTTACATTAGGAATTCGACACTATAGGTGTGCAGACTTGTTTCTTTGTGTTGTGGGATTTTACGTGAAGAGCATAGGCTCCTTGGGCACGGTATTTTTTTTTACAAAAACTGCACTCAAATGGCATTTCTCCCGTATGGATCCTCAAGTGCTCTTTGTGATTTTCATGCTTGCGGAAAACCTTGTTACATTTGGGGCATTCATAGCGGCCATTTTCATTGCGCTTCGCTTTTGGAGCGAGTACTCTGCGCCGGAATGTAGGTATCTGGTGTTGCTGCTCCAAATGTTTGTCCAGTTTCTGCAAGTTGCTTGCAACCTCACGACAAATGGCACATATAATTATCCACTTCTCGCAGTCGCCGTTACGGTGGATTTTCATGTGATGATTCAGTCCCGTATGATTACTAATTCGCAGGTGACACTCGCTACATTCATAGAGCATTTGTCTTGGACCATTTTTCTCTAACTTTGTATCCTCATCCGGTGTATGGAGAGTCTTTAACAAATTATTTTCGTGTTCCTCTTTTTTAAATAGCTTCGGAATTGAAGGATTTTGAAGCGAGTTTTCCGTATCTGGTCGTTTTTTAGGAAGTGGCAAAACTAAAGAATTTGTGCCGAAATTAGGTATTCCAGAGACCCCAACCGAAATATTCTGTGCATTATCCATGTTCTGTGGAGTTAACACACGCCCAAATCCAGCATGATAATCCATCCTATTCTGGAATGAATCATTTGATGCCCAGTGGCCCATAAGATCGCGACGGGGCTCCTGTGTATGCGGCACAGGATTGTTCGTCAGAATGAAGGAGTACGACGGTGTAGAATCTACACTCTTAGAGTAGCCTGGATGGGAGGAGGCCAGGTCGAGGATCGGGCCGTGGGGACGTAGAGCCTCAAAATCATCGCGCAAAGGTCCCAGGGTAATGTAAGTAGGATAGGACACGGGATGCGTACGCTGGTTTTCGACCATGCTCGGCTCACATGGAACACCCTGAAGAGTCCTTTGATCCACCCTCTGCATACCTGAGAGAGAGAGAAAGTGATTGAAGTTTTTCAATCTAAATAGAAAAACTTATTACATTGTTATTAATTGATAGTGAACAGTTATAGCAATGCAAATAAAAATATTGATTTTAATAAAAGAAAAGGCAAGAAGATTGACCTGGATGTAAAATCTGGGTATAGTTCCATTTGCATTATATATCGTTAACTATTTCAAAAATATTTTCAAGGTCTTCCCTTTAACTAAATTTATGAGGACTGTTTTATTCTGTTTGGGAATATGTATTTCTCAAATTTCCTTTCATCCATTTGTATACTTTATCACCCGTTACTTTTCCATGAAATAAGTTATCCTTCATTATACACGATTAAGCAAGTTTACCCTCAATTATACGATAGGCTATTACTATAAGCTTCATACACTATACTAAAATAGTATGAAGAATATTATGAATATCGTCTTATTAATTCTTCTAGACATGCATCCTCGAGGTGGTGGCCTCGGGTAAATACAGGGAAATAGTGAGAATTGGTGAACGTGTAGTCAAAAATATAACTAGGTACTTGCCATTGATATCATTCCCAGGGGTGATTGCCATATGATGCCCAGACCTTTCCTGGTAGAGAAAGGGACGAAGTTCTGGAATCCGCGTTTCCACCTTGTGAGTATTCCACGGGTCTGTGTTCGTCTGATGGAAAACGACACCACCACTTCCATGGTCCGCCAGGCGCACAACCCCGCCTTTATCTGCCTGAAGGGTAGGTTGCCAGCCCTCGATGTTGTTATTATTGTGCAGAACTGTGTATAGACGGTAGGGGCCATTAACACTATAACCGGCAGCATTAGGAGAGACGACCTGGTCATCTGCCCGAGGCGTCGGTAGTCTGTTTTTCATATTGCGAATATCTTGCTGCTCTGAGTGATGATGATGTAGGACATTATTTCCTCCATTAGCGTCGCTAGGGCACACATTATCGTTATCTGGACTAGCATGCGTTGTGAAGGAGTTGGCGATGGAGAGTATTTCGTGCAGCGGGTCGTTTTGATTCACCGCCAATTTATCCATTTGATACCACTAAAGCTCTCATTAATACCTAACAACGCAGTCACTCGCGCGCGTCAGAGATCAGACAAAACAATGAATGATACGCTGCCTATGAACGATCTATATATATAGTGGCCGTGCGGACGGCAGTTCTGGTGTGGCGACAGTGTACCTTGGACAAATGGCTAAGTGGCCTCAAACTGCCAATCTGCCAATACGAGGCAGCTCCTAATATGTATCCGCTCAAACTCATTCATATCTATGTCTGGCCAACGTCATAAATAAGCCGTTTCGTATCTGTTGTGTTACCCGGTAATTTATTCCATAGATCAACACAACATCACAAATTTATGTTGGTAGTGAAAAAGGAGAGTTAAATTGGTTAGTCGTTACCGTTGAAGAAGTTATTAGACAGAAAATTTAAAGCTAAACAAGTCCTTAAAGAGGATAAATACGAGGTAAGTGAACCTTTGAGCTCTATAGTAAATAATAAACAGCCCGTCCTCCAAACAAAGACCCAAAAGTGATTCCATGCACCTGCCAAACCCCCTGTTTATGAATGAAAAACGGTTTACACAAAACCCGTTCTCACACCAGGCTGTTTGAAGCAGCGGCCGTCCTCCCCAGACGCATTCATCAATTTTAACATACTGTGCATTAAAAATTGGTTTGTTCTCATATATAAATTAATATTCTTATACATAAAAATTGTATGTATAGTTTGGCGTAGGTTAGGTTGGGTTAGGTTAGGTGTTTAGGTTCTATTAGTAATTATTTGTATATATAAGTTCGTGGGTGAAGCATTTATAGAATTGTGGTTCGAACAGAGGACGTGAGCGAAGCACTTGTTCCGGAAGTGGTCGGACGTCATCCGTTGTGAGTCGTGTGTGTAAACCGCTTTTCATTCATAAACAGGGGGTTTGGCGGCTGGATTAAAGAGCTTGGATCTTTGTATGCGAGAATAGGGCGTTAATCACACGACTCATAACTCATTTCGTTCGAACACTTCTGGAACAAGTGCTTCACTGACGAATTTTGTTCGAACCACAACGCTGTAAACGCTTCACCCACGTACTACAAATACAAATAATTGCCAACAGGACCTAAACACCTAATCTAATCTATGCCTATATATGCACAACATGCTAATATTGTGCATATATAGAATAATTATAAAATTCAATTATATTTGAGAAAATTCCCGTTTTGAATGAACAGTGTGTACAAATTTATTTATGCGTCTGTGGGAGCGACCGCTGGATATAATAGACTCGAGTCGATTGATTGATTGATAAAGATTAAGCCACCCAAGAGGTGACACGGGCATGAATAGCCCGTAAGTGGTACAATTTTTTGCTCAGTAATTCTTTTCAGTATTCTGAGGTTGCATTTAATCGTCAAGCTGTTATCGCGGGGAGGATACTGCTTGACTTGAGTCGAGGACGGGTTGTAATACATCATTAGTTTGAAGCAAAGTACGGGAAACAATTTAGAGAGCTGTAAATGCTGTGCTAATCTTTAAGAAGGGTGGGGGGGGGGGAATGATTCACTCGAGTCAAATTATCGGCTAATTAGCTTAGCGTCCATAATTTTGGGATGTTATGTTTACATGAGCTAATAACATTTCCGTGTGCACATCTTGGCTCATGTATCCAATATTCCGTTTCAGTTCGCACCAGCACTTGGCCCGGATCGCGTTGGGTAAGTAGCCCTTTTTCGTATTTCCATATGACAAAGTTAGTCATGCAAATTAGAAACTTTCCGTTGAAGAGAGATGGAAAAGCTTATTTTACATTCTCTAGAAAACTGAAAAGTTAGGAGTGATATGATCGAAGTGTAAAGTGGATGAATGGGAATAACAAAGGGGATATTAACGCCCGAAACGTTTTGCGTAATAGTGGCTTCAGGCATTGTATGTACAAGCTCTATCTATAAATTCATCAATATTTGAACAAATCCACAAGGGCCGTGACGAGGATTCGAACCTGCGTCCGGGAATATCCCAGACACTGCCTTAATCGACTGAGCTACGACAGGGTAAAAGGGTTGAAACCGAAGTTCTACTGAACTTACTGGATCCCATAGCCTCTCCGAGGCACAAACCAGGATTTTACACAACCTCCCCCCTGCACCCGAGCTATGTCAATAGGCCGTTCTCCCTCTTCGCCCTTACATCATTACACACAGAGATCACACTAACGTGATGCATCAAATGAACAGCATGTTCATTTGATGCATCAAATGGACCATTCCTGGTCGATTCGTCCTGGACCATTCTCAAGTCGATTCTCACAATCGACTTGAGAATGGTCCAGGACGGACCGAAACGTCGTCGTCCCTTCACCTTCTAGTGTGTGGTCTGGTCAACATCCCTTTTGGTATGTCCATTAATCCACTTGTAAATCTCTATTATGTCACCCCTAACGCTTGGCCTTTTCAGTGAATGCAATTTAAGCTTTGTTAATGCGTTCTAGTGGCCTTAATCCTTAATCCTTAAACAGTGGATTATATTTCTACTGATGATGAGTCACAATAACATGGCTGAAGAATGTTGACAAAACCACACACTAGAAGATGAAAAGACGACGACGTTTCAGACCGTCCTGGACCGTTATCACGTCAATAGTCTATCAAGTCGATATCACGTCGGTCTATCAAGTCGATATCACGTCGGTCTATCAAGTCGATATCACGTCGATAGTCTATCAAGTCGATATCGAGCCTCTCTGTACTGACGTTCCCCACCACTAGACGCCGACATAACACCACCACTACTATGATATAAGTCGCCCGGGTCCGTACCCCACTTCCTTTATTACAAATTTTGTGATTTTGGCCCTAGAGGAGAGCGTACGTTTTACCCGTACCCAGTATATTTTAAGCAATTTCCAGGCTTTCATAATATCATGCATCCTCCTTAGCACGAACTCATTACCATAACCTTCCTCCCGTCCTCTGTACACGCTAAATTTTTGCATGCAAAAATAATATGGTTCTTCTTCTCTAGTATGTTTTTGTTGTCTTTGTTAGGGCAATTTTATATAAGAACGTAAGTATGAGTAACACAATGGTAGGTTGCTGTTTTATAGGTATAAGAACATAAGAACAAAGGTAACTGCAAAAGGCCTATTGGCCCGTACGAGGCAGTTCCTATTTATAACCATCCAATCCCACTCATAAACATGTCCAACCCACGTTTGAAACAATCGAGGGACCCCACCTCCACCACGTTACGCGGTAATTGGTTCCACCAATCAACAACCCTGTTACCGAACCAGTATTTACCCAAGTCTTTCATAAATCTAAACTTATCCAATTTATACCCATTGTTTCGGGTTTTGTCTTCTGTTGATACTTAAACGGGTATATAACACATATATTTTTAACATAGCTGTTCCATTTGACTGTGCTCATCAAGAGCTCTTCAGTAGTATTCTTTAGGGATTAAGCTCTTTAGAGCTAAACTAATTTCGGTTGTTGACCAAATCACACACTAGAAAGTGAAGAGACGAGGACGCTTCCATCCTAAACCATTATCAAGTCGAATTTTGATTCTTGGTGATTCCCAGGTAAGATTTTTGGATAGAGCTTTTTTATGCCAGAATCAGGGGAAACTGGCTAAAAATTTCCTATCCGAGAGTAGGAACTGAGGATATAAGAACATAAGAATAATGGTAAATGCAGAAGGCCTATTGGCCCATACGAAGCAGCTCGTATTTATATCCACCCAAACTCATTCGTGTATATGTCTAACCTACGCTTGAAACAATCAAGGGATCCTATTTCTATTATGTTATTGGTAATTGGTTCCACAAATCAACAACTCTTTTACCGAGCCAGTATTTACCCCAGGTCTTTTCTAAATTTAAACTTATCCAATTTTTACCAATTATTTCGTGTTTTCTTGTGTTGATACTTTTAATACCCCCTTTGTTATATCCATTCATCAACTTGTACACATTTACATACTACACATTTTGTTCATTATTCAATTTGTTCATTTGTACACCTTTATCATGTCACTCCTAATTCTTCGCCTTTCTTGTAAATTGAGAATGTAAATTTCTTGAGAATGTAAATTTAAGCTTTGTTAATCTTTCTTCACGTGACAGGTTTCTAATTTGCGGGATTAACTTTGTTATCCTTCGCTGGATGCGTTCTAGTGAATTTATATACATTCTACACTATGGTGACCAAAATTGAGCTGCATGATCTAAATGGGGCCTAACTAGAGCAAGATATAGCTGAAGAACAACACCAGGTGTCTTATTACTAACGCTTCGATAATAAATTCCAATGTCATATAAATCCCAGCTACTTTTAGTCCAATCAGGCAACATTGCTGTCAAATAATGTTGTGAACTAGGTCTTTAATAAACAGAACTGAACTGAACTATAATAATTTAGTTAATTCTAGGTAATGTGTCTAGTTGTCTGGCAGGGCGCCTCACGTGATCCCCTACCGATTGATTGATAAAGATTAAGCCACCCAAGAGGTGGCACGGGCATGAATAGCCCGTAAGTGGTACAATCCCCTACCATTGGATGTCGTTAATTATGATTATTCTTCTCGGGGATTACCCAAGGGATGCCGGAACTACTGATTATAGATGTCCTAGTTTCTGGGAACTGTGGCCAGGGTATCGCGGAAACATTATCCCCAATCTAAACATCATGGGGTCTGCGCTTATATGAATTAATGAGATTAGTTAATTTATTTTCGGGCTATTCATGCCCATGCCACCTCTTGGGTGGCTTAATCTTCATCAATCAGCTAATTTATCTTTATTGAGAATAATTTTGCGGTTTAATTGAATCTACTTTACTGAAAGACTTGTTATTCTTTACTGTCTCGATCGAATCAATAATATCCCTTCAAATAAGCGTCTCTCTTTGATGTGTTATTATACACAATTCTACTATTATTGAAATTTATAAAATATCGAAATCCCTACAATGATTTATGATGCCATTATTCGCACCGAATATTAATACAGATTTTTTGTGTTCATCATTTATTTTAAATAAAGCACCACCAGTCTCTACAACATATGAGAAATTTCAATCGTTGCACTTCATTAATTAATATCATTAATAGGGTATTAAAAATATC